TCTATTATACATTTTGATTTAACATTCTATGCTGTGAGTTAAGAATGGGTGTTCATTTTGTTCCTGCTTAGTTATTGAGTTTATTCCATATTATTTGTTTTAAACATTTTTCTTTCCCAAGTTAATTATCTTTATCAAAAATTAATATACCATATATGTTCCAGTCTATCTACAGGTCTATCTAAATACAAATATAAAACCTAAAATCAGATAGGATAAGGCCCACAAATTTGCTCCTCTCTGTAAAAGTGTATTAGTATTAAAGACCTATTGCATTCTTATATAATTTTTAGAATCAGCTTATCAATTTCTAGACAACAAGTGCTGCGGTAATTTTAACTGACAATGCACTGAATCTATAGATCATTTTGGCCAAATTTTTCACCTTGACAATAGTGGGTCTTCCAATTCATGTGTATGGCATGTCTCTCTATGGGTTTAGCTCTTCAGTTTCTCTGCAATTTTTCACCAGTGTGAAAATTTTGGACATGTCTTGTTAGATTTATTTCTGTTAGTGTTTTAGATGTTTGGGGACTACTATCATAAGTAAATTTTAAAATTGTGTTTTTAATTGTTTACTAGAAATTATTTTGTAGATTGTCTAGGATTTTCCACATACGCAGTCATATTTACCTGAAGACAGTGATACTTTTTTTTAGGCTTTCCTTTCTAAATTTTATTCTATCAACTTGAGGAAATATCCTATCATTTCTAGTTTACTGAGAGTTTTTATTATAGAATCATGTTGACATTTTCAAATGTGTTTGCTCCACCTATCGAAATTTTTTATTTTTCTTTTTTATTCTATCAATATGATAAATGTCATTAATACCAAACATACATTACCAGGATAAAATACACTTGGTAATTAGGTATTTTACTGTTAGTTTAAAGAAGCTTCCTAATATCATATTAAGAATATTTGCAGCTGTGCTCATGATAAATATCAATTTGTAATTTCCCTTTATTGGTCATTTTTAGTCATGTTTTTTATTATGGGTTATGCTGGCATTATAACTCCACCTAAAGCAAATCAGACAGTGAATCTACCTCCTTTATTTTTTACAAAGGTTCTGTAAGATTAATGTTATTTCTCTTTGATGTTTGATAGAATTCACCAAAGTAACCACTTAGGTGCAGTGTTTCTTTTGGAGAAGGGTTTTGTCAACAAAGCAGATACCTTTATTAGTAGTAGGGCTATTCCAATTTGCTGTTTCTTCCTGTATCAATTTTTGTAAGTTATTTTTCAAGAAATTTATTTATATCATTGAAGTCATCACATTTGATGGCATAAACTTGCCATATTCTCTTTTCATTGTTCCACTAATGTCTGCAGGATCCATGGGTGAAATCTTTTTCTCGTCCATGTGTTGGTGATTTATGTTTGCTCTCTTTTTGTTGTGTTCAGTATAGCTACAAGTTTATCAGTTACATTGATGTTTTCACAAAACCAACTGTTATTTTTTCTCTGAATTAATTATTTTTATTTGATTGATTTCTACTCTTACTAATTGTTTCACTTGTCTTAGCTTTAGATTTTTATAATCTACCTTTTTCTATTTTATTTTCAGTAAATAAACGTATTTCATTGATTTTGCATATATTTTTCCACATAAGCATTTAAATATATATCTTTCTCTCTAAGAAATGTTATAGCTACACCCTCAAATGTTTATATGTTGCATTTTCATTACCATTCAATTCAAAATTAACTGCCCTTGTCGTTTGGTATTTAACTCAGGATTTATTTAGAAGTGTGATGTATCTAATGTATCTAATAAGGTATCTAATGTAGGTAACTTATTACTTGTTATAGGTAAATTCCTTGTTATAGGTAACTTGTTAAATTCCAATATTTGGGTTATAAAATGTGTAATATTTCGCTGTGTTATTGATGGCAGCAATGGGCCATCTGGAGCTGGGGAGGCCTGAAAGGTAGCAGCAGGAGTGGCTGCAGGAGCAGCAATGGCACTGGTGGGTCCCCTATGCCCTGCATCCCCGCGGCAGCCAACTGTGCCACCCCAACCCTTGCATGGCTAGGTGGGATCTGCCTCCAGGCCCAGAGACTCCACATCTGGAGACCCTGGCCCCATGTCACCACTCCCAGAGGAGGTGTAGCTAGGGCTGTGCTTCAGGGCCCAGGGTGGGAAGTGAGAGTAGAGCCCATTTCAGACCCCACCAGCTGCACAGTGACCATACCCATCCCACCAAGGGTGCTAGGTTCCTGCACCTTGGGAAGAGGTAACGGTGTTCTGGATAAGATTTTCTGTAAGGGTGTTTTGGGTAAGACTAACATTTTAACTGGTAGAGTAAATCTCTGCACAGGGCCATCGCTAAGTGCTGGAACCAGGGGGGTACATTGCACCTGCCCTTCTGGCCTAGGCCCAAAGAGGACTTTGAGCCCTTGCCCCAGGCTGCAAGGGGACACTGTCAGGGCTACACATGCCGTAGAGTCTGTGGGAGCTGCGAGCAGGCAGGAGCTCCAACCCACTGGGCATAGCTGCAGCTGCCCAAGTTGTAGCTGTAGACCCAAGCCTCTCTGCACTCTTGGGGACTCAGGAAGGGTCCCTTGCTTGCAAGTCAGAAGTGTGTGCTCTTGATGCCTGGCCTCTCCCTACACCTGGCACCCACTCTTATCTTGGAGTGGGGCTGAGGGTGATTTGGCACTAGCCTGCAGGTACCCTTTGGAGCAAGCAGCCTGGGTGTCAAGGGGAAGCAAGAGGCAGACGGCCTCCTGGGTGGAGGGTGCAGGTCCCTAGGGGCCCCACCTTCAGGTCAGGGAGGGACTAAAGGCTGGGGAACCCTGCTGCCAGTTCTGTGGACTGGAATGTGGGACTTGTGGTGCCTTATCTCACCTGCCCATGGCTACCCATGGACCAATTGGCAGACACTTCCCTCTGAGGCCCAGGAAAGCCCCAGACTCAAACAGAGCAGAGCAGAAGACAGAGAGACAATGGGACAATGGGACAACTAGCTGTTGGGAGGAGCCACTCACTCTAGGGCCTCCTCTCTACCAAGAGCTCCAGAGGATGGGATGAACAGCTGCATAGAAGAGCTACCCTCTCTGTTGATAGCGAAGACTTGTCAGGAAGAACAGCTGCAGACAGGAGCTACCCTCTCTTTTGAGAACTGAACATGTGTTGGAATGATCTGCCTAAAGAGGAGCTACCCTCTCTACTAGAAGCTGAACATTCATTGGGATCACCTGACTACAGAGAAGAGCTGGCCACCACATGTCTTCTCTAACCTGTTCCTCTTCATCTTGCTCAAGTTCCACTTGTCCACATACCTCATTCTTCCTGGTCACAGGACACGCATTCAGGACCCGTTGAATGGTGAGGCTTAAAAAACTGCCGTAACACAAAAGGGGTTAAAATATGACCTTTGTTGACCACCTTGCAGGAGAAGAGAAGGAGAGAAGAGCTGTGGCCCTTTGGGGAGCCCAGACCTGGGAGCTCCCTGAAGCAGGGCTGCGACTCCTTCTTTGGGACACTGTGGTTCCTGGCATCTCCAAGATTCTAAGAATCACTGAATTTCACTTCCCCTGGTGCAAGCCAGAGAAGCTGCTTGTGATGTGGCTGATCCAGCTGCAGCCTTGCAGAGAGCCAGCAACCATGCCAGCACCTGGAGCTGCCCACCCTGGGGCAACAGCTGGCTTGTCTTTTTGTGCAGTGGCTAAACTCCATGCTTGCTCACACCTCTGGCCACTCAACACCTGTTTTTCAGTCTCCTTGGAGGCACAGGATTCAGGCTGCTAGTGTGAGCTGAGCACAGCCCGCCAGGCCGAGTGGGTGGAACAAGCCCAGCACACCTAAGCAAAACTCAGGCAAACGTGACACCAGCCACAAGTTTTCGAGAAAAGCAACACCCCAAAGATTCCATAACATTATCATTCATTTGGAGATTTTATTTTCATAATTTTATACCCCAAGCCAGTTTCTACATTGATCATGGTGTCTAAGACCCAGCGGCAAGAAAGCAAAAATACCAAAACATTCTCATTACCAGCACATTCTCCAACAATGTTAGCCTTTATGTCACTCAATGTACCTGTAGGAATGACTTCCCACCAAGTGTTCATGCTTTTTAAGTATTGGATCATATCTAGGACTGAGGGAGTAACTTTTCCAGCCTGTGATTGCCCACAATGCTCCAAGACATCCTACCTAATATAAAAAATGCTCCCCAATGTGTCTAGGTGTTCACAAAACCTTACTTTATGAATCTAACCTGTAATACATATTTTATAACCCATGCTATGCTCTCTGAGTCATTTTTTAAAAAATAAAAACACTTTTTTCATTTTGATCTTCCACAATCTTTCCTGCCTTCCCGTTTCTGCAAAAAAAAAAAAAATTATCATCACTACTTTTTAGGTACTTAGGGTATAAAGTTATTAGTTATATAGAGAGGCACATATATTGAATAAAATCTCTTTTTGCTTTGAAATTAGTTATGGTTCCATGGCTAAATACACCCCCAAACAAATCTCATATTTTATTTTCTAGTCTATTTTCTTCTGGGAGCAAGAAATAAACTCAGAAATATATGAGACACTTTGAAGAAAACATTCAATCAGTAACACTGATTTGTACCCAAATTTAAAATTAGAGTTAACACAATGAAGGAGGGGAAAGGGAAGTTACCAAACCAGAAAACAATGTTTTATTGATAGTTTCTTTGTTGGTATGTCATTTTATGGTTTATCAGTATATCTTTATTCATAATGTAGATTATGGTAGTATTCACAACTAAATGGTTTATCCTTTATACAGTTCAGAAAATAATATCCAACTCAGTCCAAAGTGTTTCTATGTTCATAGGGATAGGTGACTGAAATAAAGAGATTATCCAAATTACAGCAGGGAAAGGACTGTGCAGTAATTCTTCTCTACTTGCAGCAATATGGTAATGAGATTAATGAAATAATACAATAAATCACTAATTATTTGCCAAGGAATGTTGCAGAACTAAAATGAATTCCAAACAGACTCATCATGTAAAAACGAATATAGTTTTATTATTGTACAATGACCTTCATTATAACTTTCCATTGTAAAGTATTGACAGGTAATATTTTCTATTACTTTATGATATTTGACACATAAATTTGATTTTCTTCTTTCTTGATAGACAGAATTACTCAGTTTCTAGGACCCCACAAAGTAAAGAAAATCTCTCCTGAAAAAATAAAAAGAACAAACAGATAAAACTAAACCCTCTGGTCATGCTACTCAGATGCTTCCCTTTAGAAATTTATCTAGGCATACATAATGGTATTTATTCAAATATTTTAGCTCGATAAGCAAATACTAATGTAAATGCAAATACTGCTATAGTTGTCATTTTTCTCAGAACTCTAGGCACAGTATCCTTATAAACATAATTAAAATTTGCATATTCTTATTAAACTATTTGAAGAAAATCATTTGGTGGCTCTCAAAATAGAACTTTGTTTTCAGAAATAATTTATGAATGTCATTTAATACATCCCCAAGGCTTCAAAAAGAAAATGTCAAGGAGCCTCCTGCAGGACATATTCCTAAAATTCCCATGTGTCAGCTTGGTTTTGCAAAGCATGTTTTAAAATGGAGAACATGACAACATTCACAATTGGAAATCAACAGGACCTAGGAATATCTGCATTGGATAACTGTGTGTGTGTATGTGTGTGTGTGTGTGTGTGTGTGTCTGTGTCTGTGTGTCTTCACATGCATTTGTATGTGCACAAAACGTATATCGGTCAAGGGGGCCACTTATGAGCTGAAGACAATTGAAAGCAAGGTCAGTGACTTTATGTTGTTACCTGTCTACACACTCAGGGCTAATTGCAATATTGCAAAGTACGATACCTGTTAAAAATTGACACCTGACTTGAAAGTGAATGAAAGAAGAAAGAAAGACAGAAAGAGAGAGAAAGAGGAAGGAAGGAAGGAAGGAAGGAAGGAAGGAAGGAAGGAAGGAAGGAAGGAAGGAAGGAGCGAGCGAAGGAAGGAAGGAAGGGAAACAGAAAGAAAGGAAGGCAGAGGGGTAGTAAGTTAGCACAATAAGAGGTAAACTTCTTTTCAAGGTGGTTTCAAATTTCCAATCTTTATCCAGAAAAAGTTGCTTAATGTAGCAAACTGGAGGATTGTGGCTGGTAATCTGGTCAGCAGAAAAGTAGCTCTGGTCTAAAAGAAGCATAAATACGGTGTATTTTAGGATTTAAAGTGTGAAAAGGAACTATTTTATCTGTACCTAAGAAAAAAATCTAGTCTAGTAAGATGGTTTTCCCCAGTGTATTCTCTTGTTGCACAATGGAAAAACAGCATCATACATACAAAGAGAGAGGGAGCTTTGTTACTGCTTCAAACACTTTTTCCACAAAAGTAAAAAGAAGGAAATAGAGTGACAAGAGGTTCTGTACAGCACTCTCAGAGTTCCTATGAGTTTTCAAAGCAATCAGTTATGTATATTTAGCCCAGTTGACAGTTTAGGCAAAAAAAATGTAGCTATTAGTACATTTACAAAATGGTCCCTTTCTATACTTCCTAATCATCACATGGGCACAATTTAACTGAGTTCTAAAAACAAAATATATGGAGAACTTTTAATTAGTTAAAAAGAGAGTAAAGAGGGAGGGAAACCCCACGATATTTTAGAAAACAGTATAGACAAAGGAATAAACTAATAAGGTTTATAAAAGTTTTAAATGTGAAAACTGATCCACGAGAAAATGAGACAACTTAATAAAGATGACTTTAAGTAATTATAGAAATTCTACATGTAAATAAACATAGGGCTTCTCCAACTCCATGATGCATTATACTGTTCAGTTTGCAAAGTAATTTTGTGTACTATACTTTGGAAAAGTCCAAAGAATGACTATTGAAGACATTGTCTTATGAGTTATGAGTTCAAGATATTCAGCCAGAGTTACGTGATGACTATCCTTGCTTTGTGAATATTTAAAAAGATATAGAAAAGAAATATGCATAATTTTGTCTGATTTTCTAGTCAACTACTACAAGAGAGAAAGAAAATCTATTCATTGGCAATGCCAGAAGAACAACCAGAATCCCCTTAGCTAATGTATAGTAGTCCCATTCAGTATAAATATAATTGCAAGCAACAATCATTTTTTTAACTTTCCAGTAAATATTTTGAAAAAATAAAGTTATGTCAAATAAATTTAGATGATATATTTCATTAAGTCAAATATATTGAAAATATTATTATATTTTTGATAATATTTTATTTCACCATGAAGTAAATGTATATTTGTTTCAAAACTGTCTGTCCAAGTAATATCACTAACACTTGTGCCAACTCAGTATTATTAACATTGAATTCAAAGGAGAATAAATTGAATAAAATTCTAAATGTATTAAAATCAATAAATGTTCTTCACGTTTTTCCTATAGCTTTCTCAGTCAACTTATGTAACTCTATTTGGTTACCATTTAAATCTTCTGCATATAAATTTATAGTAGAAATAATCTTTATAATTTGTTTGTATTTGGAAAATTTGAATGTCAACATAAATTCTTATAACTATCTAAGTGGTGACAGATGAGCTTTTCCATTCATTGAAAGTGCCAAATTTAGCTTTTTTATATATAGTGTGATACCAATGAGAGAATGTAAGTCATGCTGGAATTATTTTTTTGTCTATGATTATTGGATATTTGGCATAATTTCTTTTTCTGTAATGGAAATGTTGAAATGAAAACAATAGCCAGTAATTTATTGCAAAACATTTCCATAGTTCAATCAACAAGCATTGGCTTATTGGTAGTCTTGACACTTTCTGAGGATCTGCTTCAGAAAAGTGAGCACCAACATTTTAATATCTATCACATGGTAGAATGAAGCAATAAAAGAAACATCCATCTCTTGTTCTAAAAATCCAATAAATTTGGATTATTCTTAACATAACTAGGACACTGTCCTTCATAATAGAACGAATTTATTTTTCAAATCCAGGTAAAATACTTTTTGGTTAGGTGTAGAAGATTCTACAAACCTGAGTTTTAAGCTGCAAATTAATGTTTCACAAAATATTTGTAAGTCCTCTAAGACAAAATACAACCAAAATATTCATTGAGTCATGTCTCTTATATAGCATGACTTATTAGATATTGGCAATATTTTAAATTATTGGAGCAATGATCTTTAAATTTTAGAAAGATTTTATATCTCATAAGCAAATGTTATTGATGGCTTAACTGAAGATCTTTCACTTCTTAAAAAAAAATCTCAATTTTAGTCTTTTACTTAAAATTGTGTTTAAAAAAAACTTTTATAAAAAAATAGTTTGCCATCTCTTTACCTAAAAATGTGTGTGAGTTTGTGTGTATGTATTCAGGCAAGAATCTAAGCCATTTTATAGTTGGCCAGAGTTGAAAGATCAGATCCTGTTGCAACAATTTAAAATCTCTTGTTACACATTTAATTTTTATTTCTTTTTAATACTTTCATTGTTTTTTACTGTTAAGATAAAATATATCAAATTCACTATTTGCTGAAAATTACTCCAATTGTCTACTTCACTCTCTTTTTTTTTCATTAAAAAACAGTTTTTACATTTTGTTCTGTAGCAAACCAAATTGCCATTTATTATGAAATCTATTACATACCTCCTGCCAGAGTCTTTTTTATTTCATTTATTTTTTTTCCAATTGGATCCTCCAGTCTCAGCATCTCCACTTAATTCTGCCTCAGTATTGTATTATTATTCCAAATTCACTGTAATTGTGCAAATAATTCAATTATACTATAATTAAAATAAAACTATTTTATTTTTATTTTAATTTTATAACTGATTCTGATTTACCTAAGTATCGTTAGTATCATTATAACTGTCTGCGTAATACTCAATTAAACATACTACAATGTTACATTATGTAGAAATAACCATTTAAACAGAATCAATCTGTTGATACCAACTTGATTAGCTGTGTCTTCATGCATAATACAAGAAAATGATACATGTAGCCAAAGGTACACTATAAAACAATATAAATGTTTTATGTAATGCAATGGGTAAAGTAAAAAGTAGTGGTACCAAAACTACAGCTATGTTGAAAGGAAAAGGCATGTTTCATTGCTTCATTTTTCACATTTCAATGTATTAAAGCAACATAAAATGTAAAATATATATCTCAAGTTAGGTAATTACATCTCAAATGTTGTATAGCCATATGTGACCAGTGGCCACTGTATTGGACAGCACAGATACAGAGTCTTAACAGAATACATAAAATATAATTATCATTTTCTAGACCTACAAATAACAAAAAGCACATACTTAGTAAGTTAAAAATATTAATCAAATGAGATAAACATGTTTGTTTTAAATCAACATTTACCCTCATTTGGAGGCAGAGAAATTTTAGGGATTATTTGACTTTTGCATAGGTACTGTGGAAAAGTTTTATAATACTATTTTAATGTAAATGAATTTACATTTGTTGAAATGATTAATACATCCTTAACTATATTTCTATCACAAAGCAATATAGTTATTGTTCCTATTTTGTTGTTACTTATTATTTAACAATTAGCTCAAATTTTTCTTCCTCTGAAGCAGATTAACCTGCAGTTAAGTGCATACCAAACCTCTACCTCAAAATAGCCTTTACCAAATGTCCCCTAATAGCTAAAACAATTTTAATTCCTTCTAGTAACATAGGAATGATGTATTTATTGAACCTCTATCAACACTAATATTTTTCAATCTTTTCAAAATTGATAAAATGAAATAATGTTTCAATCTTTTCAAAATTGATAAAATAAAATAATATGCAGTTTTGCCTTTTATGCAGAATTTTAAGTTACATATATATGCTTGGGAGTGTGTGTGTGTCTGTGTGTGTTTGTGTGTGGGGAGAGGGTGTATTTTTTGGGTGGAGGGATTGCGTCTTCCTCTGTTGCCCAGGTCAGAGTGCAATGGTGTGATTTCGATTTACTGCAACCTCTGCCTCCCAGGTTCAAGCCTCAGCCTCCCTAGGAGCCAGTATTACATGAGCCCACCATCATGCCTGGCTAATTTTTGTATTTTTAGTAGAAACGGACTTTCACCATGTTGGCCAGGCTGGTCTTGAACTACTGACCTCAGGTGAACTGTCTGCCTCGAACTACCAAAGTGCTGGGATGATAGGTGTGAGCCACCATGCCCATCCTATATTATTGTCAACGTTGAAATGTTTAGCCTTTTTCTATCTTCTCTTTAGATTATATTAGATTATTTTTACTGTGTTTTATGTCTATTTTCTATTTACAATTTTTATTGTCTTTTACAAATTGAAGGGGGGATTGATATTTTTGTTTTTCTAGCAACTAAGAGTTCTTTACAATTTTAACTTTTTCTGACTAGTAATATATCACTGTTTAATTAAAACTATATAAGATAAAATTTATTTTTAATTGTCTTAATCTCTCATATAATCTTGCAAAAAATAATCATGATGACAAATGCATTCATGCATTCATCCATACAACTGAAAGGAAATACAATAAAAGGCTCCCGTGAACTTCTGTAGATGTCGGGTGTCCTAGTAAAGACCCTTTTAGTTGTAAGCAATAACAAACATTCTCCAACTTGCTTAAGCCAAAAACAAAACAAACAAACAAAAAGGTAAAGGGATGAGGGAGAGTGAGCTTCATTCCTGATGTAACTCAAAATTTCATTTATGCCATCTGTGCAGTTATCTTCTGTCCACCTTGATTTTATTTTCAAACACTTTATGTTGGGCCTGCACAAGAGCACGTTCAAGTTGTTGAAGGACATCATCAAAAGAAAACTCCCGTGTCTCAGTATTTCCAGAAAAAGTCCTGAACTTGACCTTTGTTCCACTTGGGTCACCTGCTTATTATTAAATAAATCAATGTGGCTGTGGGAAAGGAATAAACTTGATGTGCTTAGGCTGGGTGAAATGTTTATTCCTTTACCCTATGAAATGAGAAGTGGAAAGTAATGATTTCCTATGGGAAAATCACTGAGCTGTTCCTATATTGAAAGTCAAGAGGAGTGGCCACTGGACAGAAAATCAACCGAAAAGCAGTGTATGCCCTACAATGAGATTATAGATATATTTTAATTAATTATGCTTTGGGTACTACACAAATTATTTAGCCTGACATGATGGCTCATGCCTGTGATTTCAGCAGTTTGAAAGACTCAGGCAGGACAATCACTTAAGCATGAGAATCAGAGCCTGCAGTGACCCATTTTTGGACCACTGAACTCCAGCCTGCCTGACAGAGCAAGGCTCTGTCTCAAAGACAAACAATCAAACAAATTATTTAAATTGTACACAAATAAACTTAAAGGCATAAAAATTTGTAAATGAAGAAATATTAGTAAATATATCACATATGTTACATATGTTGAAAAGAAAAATAAATACTCCATAAAAATAGATACCTGTGTGTACACTAAAGATCAGTATTTCCTAAGTTCTCTCACTATTTGATAAAAATCTACATTACTGTATTAAATATAAATAATTAAATTATATATATGATTTTAGAGTATATTGGTAGAGGTAGTTTTATAAATTAGGCTATGTAGAAAACTGGACATTAATCAAAGCATCTTAGCTTTTTTTTTTTTTACAAAGGTAGACAATCTCTATGGAATATGTATATTTTCCTCTTTGGCTTGGGTATGTCTGAGGTCTTTAATTCAAGCTAATGCCTGATTTCATAGGGAAAGGGAATTCATTTCTAAACTGCACTAACTTCCCAAATGTATAGTCAAAAAACACCTAAAGAATGTATCTTCGATAATAAGGATTTCAGAAAAAGTCAAAAAAATACAATAATTATTTACTATTGTGTGCTAATATTCTTCTAAAATTGCTACCCTGAAAAGATATCAAAAATCAAATAGTAAAGACTTAAATTGAAGTAATCTCAAGACTGTAAACATACACATGTATTTTATGAAGGGGTTTTTAAATCTGTCATTACAACTGATGAACAAATAAGCATTTCAAGTTTATTCTTTCGATTATGAAACTTTCATTAGTTCAATAATATATTGTCCTAGAAACATTCAATTACTCATTTGCATTATTGCAAAAACTTTTCCTAAAACTTGAATTTTTGCTATTAAAATGACCTCAAATTCAGATAATAATGTAATAGTTAATTAAGGATATGCTGTCAATGTCAGGTATATAACCATGCATAAGTCATCTCTACAATATTTTTTATTTCTTGATATGTGACCTGATTTCTCTTTATCAGCATTATTTTTTGAATCAAATTTATTGGTTTCTGGGTAGAAACCATTTAATATAGTTCTATGGTATTAATAATTCCTAAAGGATATGAGGAGTAGGGTAGTTTTCTTTGTGTGTTTGAGACCACTTAGGTATTGTGACGGTAAGAAAAGATGCTCACTTCACCATCTAGAGCAGAGGTCTGTTTCTGCGAATAAGTGTTAATGGAGCACAGCCATGCTCATTTGCTTATGCATTGTCTGTGCAGAGTTGAGTACTTGCTACAAAGACTATATGGTCAACAAAGCCTATACTATTTTGTATCTGTCTCTTTACAGAATTAAAAATTTGCCAGTGCCTCAGTTAGAATGTCCCTTTACTTCTATTCCATGAATGGAATAGATATCATTGATATTTTCTAAATCAAACCCTGGGTATTATAAGGTGATTAAATAGCAAATTACATTATTTAATTTTACCCTATATAGCTTTCATTAAACAACAACAAAAAATAAGTAACAAGGAAAACATAGACGCCAAACAGAATCTGGTAGCTTTAGTGAATATAAGATCGCTTAGTATCAGTAGTATTTAACCAGTAATTGGAAGATTCATTTCTAGTATTCTTGCCTTCCCCTATATTAGTCATTTGAAATTTAGTGAATGCATTATTTCTGAAACATTTCTTCATCCATAAAATGGAAATAATGCCAGTGATCCCTTTCTCAACAGGTACTGCAATAATCAAATAAATGGCAATGTCTAGAGTTCCATACAGATGTGGAGTAGCTGCTGCTTCTAATTATATATACAGTATAGACACATTATATGTTGTGGACAAAAATCTTTACACTGGAAAATGAATTAAAACTATTTAAGAATGATCAGCGACCTGTTCCAAATTCAGAGTACAATATAAGATCATTCAGAACCTTTAGGCTTATTAACTCTCATTGAGCCAAACAATATTTTCTATATTTCCATATATTGAAAGACATGCCATGTTTGTATATCCTATAGTCTTTGAGTACCCCATGGAGAGACTGCTTTGCAAAATAGTGGCATTCATCTTTCAAGTGAGTTACTAATACCCAGAGCAGGTAGCTCCTAAAATAATATAAATAATCTAACCCCAATGGTTCTATCTATATTGAATCTAAGATGTTAATCTTGGCTTTGCCATTCTCTATTGTCTCAGATCCAGAATAAATGTTTTGTTTAAGCCCAAATTCTGCTTCTGTCCTTTCACTCTGATTTCAATCGCCTGCCCTGTGTCCTCATGTCTGATTAGATATCCCCTATCTTGGATTGGCCCTATATATGCATAATATTCACCAACCGCCCATTCTGTACTCACTGTTCTCTATGGTAATAACTTTAGATGTAGACATAGAAATTGACATGTAGATATTTACACAACTATAGATACAGATTCTATCTTTGCTTCATCAGCTCATCCCAGCTTCAGGTTTGGCTTGTCCTGCTCTTCCTTCATTTTCTGTTTTTAATAACCTGACATCAAATGTGACCTTCCTTATGACACTGAGTCAAGAGTTTTATGGCCTAATGACATTGATGTACCTTAAATAAGTGATTTCATTCCATTTTCACTTACTCCAAATGTGAACTTTAAAATATACTTTCCAATAAGTCTGTTTTTAAAGGTTTGACTTAGGTCCCATTTTCCCATCCATAAATAGGTCCTTTTGTGTAATGAGGGACAACCTAAAATTCAAGTTAGAAAAATGGGTGATGTGAGTTGCTTTTATATTCCTATTCTGTAGTAACCCTTGTTTACAGGGCTCCTTACTATATTACATTGGTACAACTCATAAAAACGGGTTGTAACCTTATAAATCAAAAAGGAGGGAAAAATAGAAATTAGTGCTCTGGAAAAATTAACGATGCCATGATAAGAGCTTCTAAATAAAATCAAGCTGCCCACTGAATAAAGTATTAGATTATAAATGAATAATCATCTCCTGAAAATTTTTCTGTATACATATTAAATCTAAAGAAACCATGTTTATAAATAGAAAGCAAATATTTTAGTAAGGTAATTAGGATTCTGATTTTAATTCCAGTGAAGGACAATTGTTTCTAGCTTAAGTGAAATAAAACCTTATTTTGATGGTGACAACCATCATTAAAATTTAAGCACACTGGAAAAGATAAAAAGCACTAAGGGGCTAGTTAGTTATGTTAGGTTTGCCTTCTTCCAAGAGCATGTGTGGGTTGGCTATAAAATACCTAAGAATCCACTTTTATAACTCATACAATGGTGATTTTTTTTTATTTTAGAGAGAATCCTAAACATAATATCAGCTGGACTTAGTAGAAAAATAAGCACATAAATATGAAGTTAATTAATTCAGCAATAAATACTATGAATTTATAAACTGATGAATTAATACATTTTATTTCCTTTCTTCAGATAATTAAATAATGCAGTATCAATACTTCCTCCCAAATAATACAACTTAAAGTATTTCTCAGAAGATTCTATGCATAGGTTTTCTTTCTGCTAAAGTTATTTCTGTAATGTTTTGATAAATATCTTTCTATTTTCTGTTAATGAGGTATAATAGAATTGATATATAAGCTAGGAATATGCCTTGGAAATAAAGTATGTAACACTGAAACTATGAAAACACTCATAACTTTCTGATTCATGTAATTGGTGACAAATGATACTGTATGTAGTTCATTATTTTTGAGACCTGCAGGAGGACTCCACAAAGGTGCATAATGCCTCATAAAAAACGTGTTCCAATATCATTTATCTAGCCCATAAATAATTAAAATTACTATTTCCCAAACTGGATTACTTTGATACAGATGCTTACTATTCCTATGACTGCTCACATCACCTAAATACTACATTCAATCAAAATGTGTTAGACATCTTAAATACTTTTATAAGCAAATAATAGTTTTCACCGGCATATAGTTTTCAAAGGAAGTCTTTAAATATTTCTGACCACTTGAGAAGATTCTCTTACTATGGAATCACAGATAATATAGATTTCCCAGAACAATGTTAGTAAGTTCTCCATACCTTTCAACCCATGATTGTTCAAATCATAACTTCATGTTCTCTTACTTAATTCTGGGCCAAATTCCTTACCTGCAGGTATATAAAGATATAAAGGGAGCACAATGGAAGGAATGAGTAGATATTCATACATGTATGAGATATGACAAATTGTCCTACACTGTTCAGGACACTCTAGCAAAACGCTGTCACCTGGATGGCTTATAAACAAATGAACTCTATTTCTCACAGTTCTGGAGGCTGGGCAGCTCTAGACCCAGGGGTCAGCAGATTCAGTTGTCTACTGAGGATCAGCTTTCTAGTTAATAGATGGGGCCCTCTCGCTGTGTCCCCACATGGTTAAAGGAGCAAGGGAACTCTTCAGGATCTCTTTATTACAGCACAAATTCCATTCATGAAGGCCCTGCCCTCATGACCTAATTATCTCCCAAAGGCCTTCCCTTCTGATACCATCACATTGGTGATTAGGTTTCAACATACAAATTTTGGAGGGACACAAATATTCAGACTACTATAAAAATGAATTGTGTAATTTCAATGATTCAAAATAGGAATTAAACGCTCTGTTTGCCTTTAAAACAAGCATTGCACAATATGAAGATTAACACCAAAATTCATGCTAGTAATTTTAAAAAATAATATTTCTTAACCTAGAATGGCACTAGGCAACAATAACAATAACAAAAGCATCTGGACAAAGCAAGAGAGAAGCCATGGAAGAAAGGGGAAAGCTTTATGTTTTACTATCTTTAGTGGCACTCTTTTCCTGCTTTTTGAAGAAGCAGTCTGCATTTTCATTTCGTACTGACTCCCACGAGAGACATAATTGGTCCTGCTGTTGGATTAATACCTATAGGAGAAAAAGGGAGCAGGATTGGACCAAGGGAGAAGTCTATAATATAATCACATGAAGGCCTGGACCAACTAACGCCACAGGAAACTCCGAAGCTGGTATAGATTGCCCTCAGAGGTGTTCCCAGTTGGAGTGAGAGGATCAGGCCTTTAAATTTTGTGTTTACCAGTTATCAAAGTTAGTCTGTATTGGGAAGCAGCACTCCTAGGCCAAGGCAATTCCCAGGGAGGAAGTAAGTGGGCAAGCCATGAGCTGACATCCTCACCAGCAGCTGGGGAACAAGCGGCTCAGTCTTGAAGAAGAAAGCTGGAAAGAGCTCTGTAACATTCAGAACAACACAAAGGAGTTTGGACAGTGTGTCAGACATTGCAACGCTGTACCATCCCAACTAATTTCAAGTGGCTATTATTAATATTTTAATTTTGTGCACTTTTAGGAGAGCCCTATAACAAAGAAGGTCTCTTGCAAGATAGCTTTCAAGATAGCCTAAAAAAAGATAAATCCATAGGCACCTGACATTTGACAGCTTGATATTCCTAAGAGTAGGCCTCCTATATCAAAGCTGATAAATAGCAGAATCTGAAAATGTCTCAGATATGGCATCCTTGAAGTAGACCTAGCGGGAAGAAACTGAAAAATGAACCCTTGACTAGAGGGGACGAAAACACTTTGTGTTTATCTGTTTTGTTTTGCCATGAGAGCTTTCATCCCAAATTGTGGTAGAGACGTATAATGAAAGCTTTTACATCATAATGTATGCCCTGTTTCATCAGGTCTACAGCTTTGACATTGCCAGGCTATCAATTCAGTGGAATACAGAAAAATTATAGCTATGTCTTCATCTAAAAAGCCAAAGAAAAGAAAAGATAATAAACCATAATGCAGCAGTTCATTGGAACTCTCATTCTCAATATTGACTCTCTCTTCTAGGAAATGGGTACCTTCCAGAAACAATTTTCTCACTTTTAAATTAAGATTCTTAAATATTTTATTAATTTTAATGAGGTAGAGAAGATTTCTAAAACACATGCAACTTAGAAACAGCTTCTCGAATATGTTTCATTTCTTTTAGTTTGATATTAAAGCTGACTTACCTTTTCACTGCTTTCCATCAGAACAGGGCTGTGGAGGTATGATTCATGCAAACAATGCCGGCATGCTAATTAATGGCTAGAAGCCTCTGCACATTGGTGGCAGAAGTGGGGCGGAGGAACCTGCTGATTCTGATAAACATTTGGCAGCACACTGCCTCCCTTCCTATGGAAACTTGGCAAAGCCCCAGCAGTAGAATCCTATGCATATGTGTCCAGCCAGGCCTGGTCCTGTCCCATCTTTAGGGCTGGCTTCGTGGGCCTACAATGTGTGCAGTCACAGAGGGCCCTACACTCAGAAGAGCCCCTGATTTGGTTTAATGTTCTGCTGTCACTGTCCTCAAATTCCCTATAAATTTTAAAGAGGCCTGCATTTTAATTTTGCGTGTGACCTATAGATTGTGTGGCTGGTTCTGTCCATCTTTGAAAATTTTTGATAGAGTCAAAGTGTTGAGACACCAATCTCAGAAGTGTTTGTCATCTGCAAGCAAAACAGCAGCCTCCTTCAAAAGACAAAATACTCTCTACAGAAAAAGAAAAAAGTGGAAAGTGGACCTGCTCTACTAGAGGAGAGACAGAATGCTGCCCATTGGGTCTTTGCTTTCATTAGCTCCTAAGTTAGGTCTACAGAGTCTCCTGAATCTGTGATACACTGGAAACCATCGCTTTAAAATTTCTCCTAATGAATACAGAAAAATAAATATTGAGAGAGGAGTCACTCCACTAATCTAGCAACTGGAATTTGCACACATTTCATTAGGCAAGTTATTTGTTCTTTGGTTGTATTTTGTATTTTCTAGAAAGTATTCATTTGGGCCTTTCCCCCAAAATATGGCAAACAAAAGATATCAAAAGTACTTAGATGACTTATGAGAGTAATCAGTTAGTGATTGCTTCCTCTTTGCTATGTGTAGTGCTAAACTCTCTTTCTAATTACTATATACCATTTAATCCTTACAATGGTGAATCTCAGAAAAGTTTCCAGCGTGGTAGAACTAAGATATGTAGCTAAAAGGTGGCAGAGATGCTATTTTAAACCAAGACAGTTTGACTCTAATGTCCTTGAACTAAACATCAATAAAATACTAAACTCTGTTTAAACATGATCAAAATCTTGATTTGCTGCTGAGTATTTATAGCAAAACTAAGCATGACTAAATAGAGATCATTACACTGAGCAAGTAGAGGCAGAGTAGTGGAAAATAAGTAGGAATATGACAGAAGTCATTAGAAAAGAAAAGGAGTGTCATACATGGAATGCTAGGATCTAACTCCTATACTTGGGCTTTTTGAAAGCAATTCTTATTCATTTCTGAGAGAAAAAAACGGGTAAGTAAATGTCTTTAGAAACTTGGTCTGGCTCCAATGTGCATTGGTTTTCATGAGCTGAGTGGAAGAGAAAAAGAGATTAGAAGGAAATAAAAGGATATTGAAATGTCAGTGATGAAAAAATATGAGGCAGTTCCACAACTGGACTCTTTCTATAATGCAGAAGAGTAAATTTGCATGTGAAAACTGACTTTTCAGAGTTACATAAATATTTTCTTCTGAAAAACTCCATCACCAAAAATAACTCTTCCTACTGAAATCATTATGCTTCTGGGAATTGGACAAGTCACATCACTTAGAATTCATTTCCCTGGGTTCTTTCACAGGAAAGTAATCAATTCGGTTCAAGAAAACAAACCATTTTATGGTTGGCACCATCTGCATGATCAAATGAGTCACTGAAGAATTAGTAGTCCTGCCTCTTCTTTAATAAAAGAAGAATGCAGTAGGATTAAATAGGCAAATTATATAAACAGACATTTTACAAAAGAGAAAAAAACAAATATGAACTATCATTCATTTTACTAATGCAAATGGAAATAACAATGAATTACAAAATTTTGCCTAACAAATTGGCAAAGTTTGTTTGTCTTTTATTTGTTTTTGAAAATACCCAATGATTGTAGAGCATAGACAAAAACCTATTTGCATATAAAATTAGTAGAAGAAAAACTTTAGTTCAATTTCTTATAAAAGCAATTTTCAATGAATAAAATGCCTTGAAACACGTATTCTCTTTGAATAACTAATTCTATTTCTGGAAATGTATTGTTATAAAATAATGAGAAATACAGCATTTAAGAAAAATTTTGTGAAGATATTTATGTTATACTTATTAGGAAATAATTGGAAGAAAATCAAATTCTATCATTAGAAAATGGCTTAAGGAAATGTGATTCATAAATAAAAGAAATAAAGTTATTAAAATTATGGTCACAAAGTTTTTAATTAAAATTATAAATTTTCTTAAAATGTAAGTGGTGAAAAATTACAATATTAATTATAGATATATTTTGATCTAAATTATATATTAAATATATATAGGTTTATATGTGTAATTAAGCTTTAGGAAAGTTTATATATAAATTGAAGTACACATATGTATACATATATACATAAAATATACTACTACATAACAGTAAAAATGAATCACATACAACCAGAGGCAACTATTATCAAACGTTAAGGACATAAAACTGAGAGAAAAAAGCCAGAAAAACATTTTAATAATACTGTCATTTCAAAGCTTGTAATGCAATGTGCGTATCCCAAATATATACACACACATGCATATATGCATGTATGTGCATGTGTACTTTCTATACATGAATATGTGTATATGCATATATGTATATATGACTAAATTCATCTAGAAATACAGAGATACATAAGAGTAGACAAAAACGAGACAGCATAAGAGGGCTGGTTATAATAAAAAAACTTTTGAGTTGTTTATAGTTTACAAAATTATAATACTTTTTAATGAAAGGTAATTTGGACATCATCTAGTTCCAATATTTTATTATGTAAATCAGAAAGTGAAAGGGCACAAGTAACTTCCCAAGATCATGAAGAGTTATGGGATAAAATATCTTTATTATAGAAAGAGGAAACATCTACAATAACACAGACTTTGGTCAATTAACTTGCTTTAAATATTATCAACCCAAATTATGGTTTTACTTTCATGATGTGAAAATGCCCCTTGCCTTTATTTTTGTATCTTCTTAGCCCTTCCATCCCAGGAAAATATATTTATCAATTACACATTGTACAATTTAGCAATTGCATACCTCAATATAAAAAGTAGATTTAATTTAATTAAATCCACAGTTATGGAGCATGTACTATGGACAAGATGCCAGGCTAAATCTCTTAAACATAGAAAGAAAAATACAATTGATCTCTTAGTCCCAAAGAGTTTACAATGGGAAGTGGTCACTGTCTCTATTCCTTCTGCAGATACAAAAAGCATAAGCAAGTAATATTTATGTTGAGTCAGTTCACATCTTATCACATAATCGTTATAATAATGTAAACAGTATTTATTATTTCATTTTTCTAGTATTAGATATAGTGGCTCATGTATAAAAACAAGTAACTTCCCAACAATACACAGATATCAGGTAGCAAGAATAAAATTCGAACTCAGGTCTATTTGTTGTTGAAGTCTGAAGTCTTCCACTCGACTCTGTGAACTCCTAGCTCATTCTGTTGCCCAAGAAAGAAGCTTGAGAAATCCTTTGACAGAAACACATTCTCTTTCAACTATATGCAAGTGATTAAAGTCTAGGACTCTAAGGAGGAAAACCGTATAAAGCATGTCTTCTCCAGTTGTCTAAAGTAAATTAGTGCCTCAAGTAAATAGGAACAAGAGAAATAGAAAATATCCATTGATTGTAATTTTTGCTCTATATTCCCTCGGTTAACAAACCTTATTTTTCTTTCTTGTTTCATAGGAAAAAGGTGAGGAATATCCTTCCGGACCCTAATAGATTTCTTTTAGGATCCCAACTAACTTTTAAAAAATTTTCTTAGTGCTAGATAACATTTTAAATTTTAAAAATTCAATACTTCAAACTTTATTTATAACCCTTCTGCCCATCTAATGAACTCATTATTGGTATCTAAAGCAGTTCCGTATTTCTGTCAATCTTATAACAGCCAAAGCTACCAATTTAAAAGTGAAGAATGTTAAACAATTTAGGTGGCATTATGTAGAATCATCCAGCCTACAAGTAAAGGATTCTTATTAAATTCAACTATTTTTAAATAAATGAATAATAATTCAACTTTAAAAAAACGAATGAGTTGTGTCATCTTAGATTATACACAAGAACTGAGATGTAATCATTTTATAAACAACAATTATCAAAAACTTATAAAGCTTTTCTACACCAGGATTTTTCTACACTGGGATAAGAAGAAACAATCAATTATAAACATACACACAGGTACACATAAGGGTTGAGTTAGCAGATAAATATTCATTTGAATTGCAATACAGAAACCAAAAAATTGATAATTCTGCACTTTTCTAGCTGCTGTGCATGCCTGGAAAGCAGGTGTTAAGAGTTTGTAATTCTAGTAATCAAGGAAGGACACAAATTTGAGAGGATAATTGCTGTTTTTTAATATTTATTTAGAAGCACTTACTCTTTCTCTTCATGATTTCTCATTCTACAGCCCAGATGGTAATACAATTGGCCACTATTTTAGCTGCTCTTTACAAAGAAGTTAGCATCTTCCAATCTTATCAGCACAGAAGATCCAAGTAGAATAGAACTCTGCCAGATATTATGTATTTCATTTGTAGAATATAAATTCTTACCCAAAAAGCTATAGCTAATATCACACTTCTTAATTTAGTAAAGAACATTATCTGATGAATTTCATCAATATAGTAGTCTTCATCCAATATAAAAGCCAATTAAATTACTTTGAATACAAAGCTGTGTGCTGTATTTGATTTATTAGATAAAGAATCTTAGGCGGGTGCACCCAATTTCCACCATGATTAAGGGTCTCTATGGAATAAAGGATGATGTCTTCCTTAGTGTCCCTTGCATTTTGGGACAGAATGGAATCTCAGACGTTGTGAAGGTGACTCTGACTCCTGAGGAAGAGGCCCGTTTGAAGAAGAGTGCGGATACACTTTGGGGGATCCAAAAAGAGCTGCAATTTTAAAGTCTTCTGATGTCATGCCATTTTACTGTCTAGGCTACAACAGGATTTTAGTTGGAGATTGCGCATGTTGTCCTTTTTTATCTG